GGGGGGGGGGTCAAATTGCTGGGGTCAAAAATGACCCCAGGATAACAGGTGTTAGAAAATTTGAAGGTAGCGTGAGGGTTAAATGTTGTAGAAATGAATGTTGACTTGTTTTATATGTCAGGTAATGACTTGGAATAAAGTTGACGAAGGAGTTGGAACACAGAGGTGGGTGATAATTTATACTGTATGCTTTATAAACAGTCAAACCTGACGGGGTCATTTTTGACCCCAGAGGACAACAGGTGTGATTATGTGCTGCCATTAGAAAAAATTCAAATGATTCAAGAACAGCATCCTCACTAAACTTTGATATGTACCTCTTTGTGATCAGTCAAATAGTAAAAAAATAATATAAAGTCAAAATAATTCATTGTATTTTCACTCAAAAACAGGGTATACTTTTATGTAAACAAGGTCTATTGGCCCTAAATTCCAAAATGAAGGGAAACATTTGTTGTAATGGGTTGGACTGAAGTAAGACTAAAGGTGTAAAACAGAATTGATTGAGAATTTATACTATATGCTTTAAAAACAGTCAAACCAGGTGGAGTCATTTTTGACCCCAGAGGACAACAGGTGTATGGCAGTCGGGAGGACAACACAAGGGTTTTAAGGGATTCTTCACAAAGATGTTCATTTATGTAAAAAAAATAAAATAAAATAAAATAAAAATAGCAGCAACATCCACAAAGCCCCACTGATTCATGCCGTTATCCACATTTATCAGAATTATCTGCTTGAGCTGCATCAAAGAACTGCATCTCTAATTCAGAAAGGGCACTTGGGGATCTAAGTTTTTTTTAAAGGGTGCAACAGCTCACGTACTGCATTTGATGAATGTCTTCTATTCATAGTCTAGATGTTTATAGTGCAGACTCTGGAATAGCGCTCTATTCCAGAGTGAGTAATCAGTGTAAATTCATCAGGGCTGTGATGTATTAGTCGGGCTACTCCTGCCAACAGTTATTTTGATGTTTATCAAAATGTAACCTTGACAATTAAAAGGCAACTCAGGGTCAGACAAACACACTCCAGCAGAAGTTACTCTCTTATATCACTTGTAAGATGGCACATGATTTAAACTCATGGATGACAGACTGAGTCACTCAACCAACTGACGGACACGATGAAAAATGGGTGCTTTTGCGATATAACCAGGATTTTTGGATACATTTCAAAATGATACATTTGTTTGAGGCACTTTGGTGGAAGAATACCCATAGGTCGACACTTGCGCTATATGGACAAAAGTATGTGGACATCAAGGCCAATATACTGTACTTTTGCCCGGGGCCTGTTGTGGCCTAGTTCCACTGAAGTGAAAGCCTAATGCTCGGGCGTGTAGTGATATTTTAGACAACAGTGTTCTTTAAACTTTGTGGCAACAGTTATGGGGAAGTTTTAACATACCAGTGCCCTCATGCACAAAGCCAGCTCCATGAAGAGATGGTTTGGTCTGCACAAAGCCCTGAACTCAACCCCATCCAACACCTTTGGGATGAACTAGAACGCAGACTGTGAGACAGACCTATTGAGGTTGGTCCTCACTAATGCACTTGCGAATTACATGGATCATATACGTATATATACACACACGCACAGTATTTCTCAGTCAGATAATTGCAGCTAGATCCAAACTGCTGTGTTCCTTTAACAAGTGTATTGTTCATGAAGTAAACAAAAGGACAGAGGAGCAGCACCATAAAACCATCAGCTGCACTCCTTTCACAAACGTCCAGTCATTTTGATGAGACACTTCCTCCTACTGTCTGCCATAGATTAAAAGTTAAATATGTGAATGATACAAAAAAAAAAAAAAAAAAAAAAAAAAAAGCAGTGGTGCAGGTTTGCTGTGACCTAGAAGGAGCGTTCAAGGAAAAGCACGTGATATTTCTGTCTGCACATGTGCAGACTGCCAATATGTGCACGACACATAACCTGGAATGTAACGATAGTGTCTGTAGTACTTCAGGATGAACCGAGGATGGGACCACTTCATTTAATCATGATGTGCGTCACTCAATATAATCAAGACTTAACGTTTTTATTAACAGTCATAATTCATTCACTATGTGCGTCAGTCAGTGTGCTCACGGCGCTGCTGTGTGGGGGCTCACCTTGTCTAGCTCGTCGTGCAGCTCCGACAGGGTGGGTCTGATGAGTTTCTCCCCGAGCGGCGCTGCCGTCTGCCGGTAAAAATCGATGTTGGGCACGGCATCGATGGTGTTGTGGCCAAAAGTCCTCATGTAATAGGTGTGGGTGTGGGTGTCGTAGTGGTAGTGATGCTGGCCCCCCGTGGATGAATGCAAGCTGGTCTCGCTCATTACCGTGTCCCCGTTCTGCAGTCCATCACCCGGCGCCTCCGGAGAGGCCGCGCTCTCCGCTTCACTGGGATCCGCGAAGTTCACCACGCGAAACCGGCCTTTGGCTTCTTCTCCGCCGCCGACACCAGGATTCGCACCCGGACCCTCTAGAGGAGCCGCGGGAGTGGCTGCATCGCTGGATGGGACGGTGGTGGAGGCGTCGGAGCTCGGGGACTTATCTTCCGTGGCGCCCGCAGCCTCAGCCACTATGTCTACCTGGAACCGGCTCTGGCTGGGGGTCGGACCGGGCGGCTTCGGCCCCGCATCTGGAGTTAGAAAATCACAATCCGTCGCGGCGCTCTCTGCCGAGGCGGAGGGTGTGGAGGATGGCGCTGACATGGCACAAACAACACAAATGAACGTGGAAGCAGTGTGGGGGGAAAAATACGTTGTGGCCCACAAACTAAGTGTGGAAGCCCGGGAGTCGCCCCGTGACAAACGTTCAACCGTCTTCCTATTTACAAGGAAGAACACGCTGCTCTGCCCGCTCAGAGACTGGTAGTAGCTCGTTAGCTGCCTCAGAACAAGAGGCTACAGGCTGGAAACTTTTAGCCACTCTCCCCCTCCTTCTTGAGCGGCAGTAAATCCAAAAAATACTCCCGGCAACTTTCACTCGCTCGGCCACTGGACTATATCCCGTCCAGCCACGGTCTTTTTGTCTCTCGGTGTGGGATGCTGTTGTGGACCTTGCTGCTGCAGCTCCTCCTAGACTCCCGGAGCTGCCCTCGCTGCTATTATACACACTGCAGTCGGCATCATTAAAGGGTGGGCTCCCACTGAAGGAGGCCTCGCGAGATCTCATCTATCGCGTCTCTTTTGTTTCTCAAAGGGTGGGAAATGTCGCGAGAAGACATCATATTACCCAAACAGTATGCGTGACGTTGATAAGCTGGAGGGAACGTTTATGGGAGGGAAGCGGAGGAGACGAGGAGACGAGGGGGTGAAACTGCACCAACAGCTTACCAATACTTTGTATGGTGTGCGTGCGTGTGTGTGTGTGTGTGTGTTCCCCCACCTGTGCCCCAGGCCCCAGCGCACATGTTCACCTATACAGCAGAGCACACTGAACATATGTCACAGAAACTGTCGTGCATATGTGCCCACTCAGGATTTAAGAAATCGAACCTCTAAAAACTGCTGAGGCCGCTGTTATTTTACAATACATGTTTCATGCTTTTTTTAGTGGTATTTCATACTTGTAGTGACTTAAGAGATGTTAAAAAAGAGCACACGACAAACCAGCATTAAAGTCTACAGCCGGGTTGACTGGAATGACAGCTTGAGTGTAATATCTTAAATTCAAACCAGTTAGTTAACAGTTTAAAAAACTCTTTAAAATGCTGAACTACAAAACACCACTCGTCAACGAAAAAAAATAAAAAAGTTAACCAGGTTATTTTGAATCAAAGTGGAAAAGTAGATAGAATATATCAAATTATAATAGGTTTTTGTAGAGAGCACAAATATACAAAATTAAATATGAAATTAGTAAAGGGACCCCAGAGTCTTTGTATTTGCATCATGAGAACAATACTGATACTTCAGGAGTAAAATAGAACATAAAAGACAGAAGTAAGATAGAAAGTGGTTCCAACTATATACAGTATATATATCAAAAGTATTTATGCATAATAAAAGCGACTGTTATATTATTATGTAATATTATTTTACCCGTCCTGTTAGTCCCAATTAAGTGAAATCTCAATCCACAGCATACAATGATATTTCAGACAACAGTGTTCTTCCAGCTTTGTGGCAACAGTTTGTGTTTGTCCCTTTCCTGTTTGAACATGACATGGGCCTCCTCCACTAATCCAGGTCTATAAAGAAATGGCTTTCCAGTCTGCTGTGGAAGAACTTGATTGAAACCTGTCCAGAACCTCTGGGGTGAACTGGACTCGAACGGCAGAAGCCATGTTCCAACATCTGGTGGAAAAGCCTGAACATGGTAGAGGGGAAGCTGTTTAAATATTTACTGACATCCTGACACTTAGATGCAGTAGTTTTGGCCTTAACGTTTACTGTAGTTATGCTCTGGGACTGCTAGCCTATTACAGTAGCATTTATTAACTCTCCATCATTAGCTTGGTTGTCTCACTCTTCAACAGTGAGTCTAAAGTTGATGTACTTTTTTAACATGATGTCATAGATCAAGCTGAAATTAGAGGAAGCCAGATGCAAACAGGTTCCTTTAAGGAGCCTGTGGGACCAGTATTCCGCATTTAAATGCCATTGATCACACAGACCTTATAATTACCTTGTGAGACAGCATTGATCGCCTGTAATCCGGTTTTGGCAGTAAATTAAGTTAGACTTAAAGCTCAGTGACCTAATATGCATGGAGGAACTCGATACTGTAACAAAGGACGTTGATATGAATAACAGTGTTTTTACAGCTTTTGTGCATACATATTTGCCCTATTATTATTATCTTACCGCATGCATCAGTCAGTAAAGGTAGAGGGTGAAAACTAGGCTGAGAGCAGCTGAAAGACCATAACAGCTTTTTTGGGCCAAGGGCCAACTTTGAGCCTGAACAAGCCTTGAATTACGAGTTTATTCCAAACGCAGAAAGTTTACTTAATGTTGAGTATTGCTTTTGTCAAAATAAAGCAGATAGGCTGAATAGCTGCTTAAGACCTATTTTGTCTTCAGTGATCTTGACATTAAAGACAATGTAGACTACAGGTTTGACACTGCTGGTCATTCCCAGCGAATATATGTTGTGTCAATATATTAGTGATGATGTCATACAGAGGGAGTGATTGAAATGTGGTAGTACACACGGACATCTGGTAGTATGATTAGTGTCACAGTAATGACACCTAATGAAATACAAATTGTACAACTGTCTTTCTGTGTTTTTTATGTGGTGAGAAACGGATCATTGAAAAGGCAACAGAATGGGAATGGACTGGAGCAACGCCTTGTGGCATATCATGTCCCAGTATAGGACAAAATCACCTCAAACAAGAGTAGCAGACCTGGAGGCTGCCTTTTCAAAAAGTAAAATAATCCACATTGTACATAACAATATCCCACCAGGGGGTACGTACAAGTAACCAACAAGCACAATATTAAACAAACACAGTGCGTAGCAAAAGGAGTGTAATAATAATGCATACATTCATCTAGAACAAAAGATAAGAGCACTTTTCATAACTATCATTTTTGGAAAGAGGTCAGGACAGGAGTTATTATAACATTCATGTATAACAGTCAGACATTTAAAAGTTATATTAACCATTAAATATGTTAAATATTGTTTGCCTGTAATCAAAGACACCCATAAGGGAATATATTTCACTGGAAAAAAAACTTGTTAAAATTTGAATAACATGAATGTCACACAAAAAAGTAGTTTTAGAGCTGAACTCACATAACTAACCTCTGATATGAAAGTCCTTTTTGAATTGAAGAAGGGTTTAACTGTGTGTTTTTATGGTGCTGTCTTAAGGAGATTCCTCTCACCTCTTTTGTTCACAGTGGAAAGATCAAACTTTTGTTTCCAATTATACGATCTCAGTGTGACCTCACCCTGGAACCCTGGAAATCTTGCCCTAATGACCTCACCCTCTGTATATTGTATGAACCCCATCTAGTTCACTGCACAGAGACCCAGAACCCAACCAGTCACTCCGGCTGGAGTCATAGAGGCGTAGAGGGAGCTATTCCCAATAAAAGCCTTACTCACTTGACTGTGACACATTGTTGGTGAAATATACTGTATATACGTCTTATAGTGTGCTTCATAAGTAGTAAATAGCGTGAAGGGCCTGTCAAAGCTACCTTACACCACTGCTCTTGGCAATTTTGGTTACCAGCCCTGTTTGCTTGACATATGGAGATTACATTTGTAGTGATCTCACTATTTGACATTATATTTTTTTGTCTATAGCCTACCTACGTTGGGAGATGTAGAAGGAAAATAACAATTTTTAAAAATGTAAAAAAAAAGGTCTGCTTTTTTCCACCCATTTAAAGAGAGCGTACTATATCAGCACAGAATTTGTGCTCATTCTTGTGCTGGGTGTTTGGATTTCAGAGACGTTAACTGATCTGAATGTGCTACCGCCCCATCCACATGCATCGCAGCAAACAATGTTATTTAGTATGTAAATAACTCTGTTCTGTTTGTATACTCACAAGCATCTTTTCTCTGGTGAAGCAGCTATTGTTTCTGATAAAGGAAGGAGTGGTGGTCAAAGGAGCTACCAGTCGATCAGATAGGGACTCATGCATAATGCTATTATTACAAGCCACAAACAGCCTGGCCCATTAGAGATGGGCATGGACATGCAACAACTGTTGGTGAAATAAACAACCCCAAAGTTTAAACCCACCCTTTTTATAATTCAAAGTGAACTTGTCTAAGCTGAGTCTTGGAGCCTTACCATACCAAATAAACTGTCTGGTTAATTTGTTGAGGGAGGAAAAGAATGTCGATGGGATCTGAATCGGAAGTGACTGAAACATAAATAAGAATCTGAGCAGGATATATTTATTTTTATAACACTGATTCTGCCCAATAACGTGAGTGGCAAATCGATCCATTTTCTCAAATCCTCCTTCATCTTCTGCAACAAGCTGCTTAAATCAAGTTTATAAAGGTTATAAAGGCAGAATTTCACTTTTATCAAGGTTGACCTTATATCAAGAAAATGATCCATATGATTTGAAGACAATCTTAAGATGGGAAAGTGAGGTTTCAGGATTAGTTAGATATAGGATGATGTCATCAGCAAAAAGTGATATCATGTCAGGGCCAATCTCAAAGCCATTTATATTAAGATGGCCTCTAATGGAGAGTACCAAAAGGGGCGGGACTAACTGGACATCCCTGCCTGTTGCCCCTATGGAGACGGAAAGAGTTAAACCTATTAGTAATAATCCTAAAATGTATCCAAAAACTAAATGAAAAATGACCATTTTACCATGTCAAAGGCCTTCTTAGTGTCAAGCTTTTTTTTTTTTTTAGCAAAGTGGATTATGTTAAATAATCGCCTTAAATTATCAGAAGACAGTCTATTGATTATAAAGCCTGTTTGATCCGGATTGACCAACAGGGGGAGACATGTCTCTAACCTGTTAGATGTCATTTCAAGGACAGAGATTGGTCTATAAGAGGCACATTTTCCTGTATTTCCCCTCTTTGTAAATAGTCGTAATAATAGTTTGAGCAAAAGAGTCTAACTAGTACGTCCATTAAGAGTGATAAAGGGAACATCTTTAAATTCTTTATAAAATTCCGAGGGAAAGACATCATCCCCCGGAGATTTATTGGTAGATAGAGATTTGATAGATTCTGTCAACTCAGACCTAGAGAAGGGTTCTCTCAGACCGTCTGTCTTACGAGAAATCAGTCTGTTTTTGTTAGATCCCCATTTGATTGTGAAGTATAAACGTCAATATAGTATTTTTGAAAGGCATCATTAATTTCGATGAGATTAGGAGGTATCTCATTGGAGGGTGTCCATAGCATTAAAGGACAGTGTCTGATCCATTACATCAGGTAAGAATAAAAGTCAGCCATAGATTTAATCTCTTAAATGAACTCTCGTACGTTTTAGAATGATACATGACATAGAAACAGCAGTACAATGTTACATAATTATAACATAATGGTAAAATGTACATCCTGGTACTCCCACTCTGCCCTTGAATTCAATCATTGGCGGCTCAGATGTTGAAGTAGAAAATGTTCATGGGAATTTCTGTGTCAAATTTTCACCAATCCACACCCATGAATTTTCTTTCT